CCACAGCTAGTTTGGTTATTGAGCCTTTAGATTTTGAAATTTATCTAAATTTCCATTGTTAATAGTAAAATCAACAACTTTGAATCTTCACAAAAAATTTTTTTTATTAATAAAAATGAAAAAAAAACTCTCTGAACGGTTATTAATTGAGTGTCTGGAAATACAATTGCGGAATGGTTATTCCCACAGCTTGTTTGGTTATTGAGCCTTTAGATTTTAAAGTTTATCTAAATTTCATTTTATAGCGAAATCAACAAAATTGATAACTTTGAACCTTTACAAAAAAATTCTTTACTAATATAATGAAAAAAACTCTCTGATAGGCTATTAATTGAGTGTTTGGAAATACAATTGAGGAAAGATTATTCCCACAACCTGCTTGGTTATTGAGCCTTTATGTTTTAAAGTTTATCTAAATCTTCAACGATTTTACTACACAGTAAGTCTCGGTATAGTGGACCTCGGTATAGCGGATGTCTAATAAAACTCTTGGTTTAATGGATCAAAGCTCAGAACCATCTATAAGTAAATTCTCGGTTTAACTGATTTACTAATTAAATCTTGAATTAATCTTGGTATAACAGATTTTTGAAATTTTTGTTCTGATTGCCCAAATTATCCGCTATAGTGCCAATTAAGGGTGCAAACATATTGCCAAGTTGTAACCTGTTGTTATGACACCTATATGACATGAAAAGGTTGTAACCCTCACAGGTAAATGCTGAATGGTCGTATGCCGTATTTTGTGCCATATGCCATATTGCAAGCGTGCAATCTGAGTTTCCTATTTAATAAGTTATTTATAGCTCAACACACAGCCTCCTCGCTGACTTATGGTTGATTCTATGGTTTGACACACAGCCTACTCATTGACTCACGGTCAATTTCCTTTATTTATATATATGACACACAGCCTACTCGCTGACTTACGGTCAAAAATCAATAAAATATAACTTTTATCTTCTCAGATAAAAGGATCCCTAGGTTCTATATGTAATTATATCCCAAAGGCATCCCCTTGAGATGTTTCTTGATAATTAAGATACTGGTTAACTGCTATGGGCAGCAAAGGTTTATTAATTAATTAGAGATTATTATTTAGGGTAAAATATGTTATGTGTTTTATTAGCGATAATAATATTATTATTACAGTGTATTAGGAAATATTAATTATTAGATCAATAATTAAAAGATTGTTATGAACATGATTATTCTGACTTGGTCTAAAACCAAGTCCTTTTATACCTCTTGGGGTATTACAAATAACATGACTTTTACTCTAGTTTG